CTGCTAGCCACAGCAGGGCCGCAGCCGGTCACCGCGCCATCTCCTCGCCGCGGTGCGCTCGCCCTCTCCCATTCGCCTGACGCGGCTTCCACTGCACTGCCATCATTCGCTTCTTCCTAGTAGATTGCCTTAAGAGATCTCCAAGTCCAAGATGTTTCTGTTCTCCTGTCACTTGTTCGACTCCGGCGCTGCAGTGGTGATCTCCTTGCTGTTGCCGATGCTCTGCTCTGGAGGAGCGTTCTTCTCACGTCTGTTTGGCCACGTCCAGCCCCAGCGTGGGCCCTCCTTTCCGCCGCCGGCCGCTTCCCCGCTGGCCCGAGCTGTGCGCTGGTCCATTCCCGTGTAGAAGAAGAGCGAAGGACCGTGGACAGGAATTAGAAGAAGATGGAGGACCTATGTGCGAATCCGTGACTCATGTGAATAGTGCCGTAAGGACTGGTTTGTAATTATTTTGCAGGAACTTTGAAAATTCATAGTAAATCGTAGAAAATTCGTAAAATAGTAAATGAGGACTTTTTGGAATTCTTGTGAAATTGTCTATGCAGTAGATCTATAATATGGCATGTTTTAGTTTAAATATTTTGTGGTAAAAATAGATTTGTGCAGTAAGGTTGTAATGCTAGTTGAATTTGTTATTTTTCATAACTGTAGATCTAGGGCTCCAAATGAAGTGAAATTTTTGTGGCATTCTACTCATATGATAGTTGATGTGTGGTAAAAATTTCATGAGTATTGGATGAAGTATGAGTGAGTTATTGGTTTATCTTGCTCTCACGTGATTTCTTGCTTTAGCAACTTGTCTTTTTCACAGAGGTTGCTATACATATTCAAATGGAGTGAAATTTGTACAGTAGACTATTGATAGGATATGTGAGCCACTGTAATTTTTGTAGAATTTATTGTATACTTTTGGTATATGTTCATTAAGTCACCTTGTTATCTAAAATAAATTAAGAAATGCATTAAAAGAATTTAATTGGTCATGTACACTAGGTTTTCTGGTGTTCTTTAGTCATGTGGGAAATGTTGGTAAAGTTGGTTTTGCCTAATTATGTGTTTGCAACATAAGTTAATATTTATTTTCTTGCAAATGTGGTTTTTGGACAGATCTGGAAACTTAGCAAAGTTCTTCATGATAATGTGCTTTGTTGTGAAACTTGTTTATACAAAAGTTGTAGATAATTCATGTATCTAGCTTCTATTAAAATTTGGTGTCATTTGGCCAAGTAGTTTAAGAGTTATAGCTGTTTAAAGTTGGGTTTCAGAAATGGCTGCTTTCTGTCAATTGTAGACCAGTTTCTGTAAATGGATATATTTGACTTAGTTAACTTGAGAATCATGCTAAGATGATTAAATATGAATTGTAGAAAATTTCATAAGCTTTCCATAATGTCTTCTTGCAACTCATTTGGATTTGTGTAACTCCAGTTATAGCTAAATCTTGTAGCTGCTGTTTGCATGTCCAGAAATTGGCAGATTCCAATTATAGTGCTTGCTTGTATATTGTTAAGTGTGACGTATGCCTTGAATGATGACTGAGTTAGAGCACTTGAGATTGTGTGATGTTTAAGTTAAGCATCGCAAAGTACTTAAGTGTGTTAGTGTAAACTATGCTTGTCTTGCTTGCTATTTTGTGATGTGTCTCATGGTACTATTCTTCATATTTATGCACTTGCATATTGCATCTCATCTAGGTACGCTAGATGAACCACGTGAAGGACGTGAGTTTGGAGCCAAACCCGAAGACGGTGTTTGATGGATCTGTCCCAAGATGGAAGGACTAAGCGAAAGTGCTAGGATCTCGAGATGTCACCAGGATGGTGCAAGCTAATCGAACCGACTTGTGTCGGATCCCGTGCAAGCCCAGAGCATTAATAAGTCTCCTAATTTATAAAAGCAATTCTTTCTATATATGAGTTATATATTGTTGCATTAAGTTGTAGGAGTTGATTGAAACCGTTGATGCATTTATTACTATCCTTGCCTACCTTATTACCTTTTTTACCTGTTAGGTAGGTCGGATCGAATAACCGCTTAGCCTTGCTTAGACCGGTAGCGATCGGTGATATCCGATCACCTACATTATAGGTGGTTACCGAAGACTTTAGCTATGGAGAGAATGATATCTGGAATTAACCATGTGTGATGGATAATTGGAGACCGGACGGAAAAAGTTGGAGGCAACAGATGTGGGGGTTACAGGTGTCTTTGTTAGTTTCGTCTCGTGTCGATTAAGGACCGATTGTTGTTGGGCCTCGAGTCATGTTGAACGCATGCCTTACATTTAGCTGGCCGGATAAAGTACCTTCCGACCGCGAAGCTGGGAGATTATTCGGGCCGAGTAGATTGCCCGCAGCGCACTGTGTCGGAGCAGGTGTGGTAGGACACGGGGGCGAGATGATAAGACCAAAGTGCAGTCGGTCGGCCCCGGTACATGTGGTTCTGGCAAACTCGAGATTCTGGATAGTTGACTCGGTGATCAATATCTCACTTTAGCGGGTGAGTGAGGTTTGTGTAAGGAATAAATCACCGGTGGTTAGGAATCGATTCGAATCGCCATCGCTCCCGGATAGTGAGCACTTGACTCGAAATTCTTGCATCGTAGTAATTATTATGGAACAATGATGGTTTATCTGGATGGTATGGGATGTGCTAAATCTAAATTGGTAGCTGGATGTTATTGGTTAATCAAGTGATTGCTATAGTATAGGTGCTTACCTAGATGGATAGGTCATAATAAAGATGATGCAAAGTACTTAAAATGGTTTCTTCATGATAGCTTATGCTTTTTTCGCAAACAAGTCAGCTAGCCCACTAAAGAAAGCCTTGCATGATCCTTGGTGTCATTTGTTTTGGTTTCCGACGGTAAGAAATTTGAGTACATTCGAGTACTGTGGTTTATCCCACCTTATTGCGGTGATGTTTTCGACACATTGATGATGGTGGCTAACCGCAGTGGGCTCGGTGATTCTATACTTACTTCTCATCTATATGCTTTTTGTCGGATGATGTCACTAAGCTAGCAATATATTTGGAACTTATATTAATGTAATCATTTGAAAGCTATGTTGTTTTCACTAATCGGTTTTGAAACCCAAACTTGTACTATTATTTGTTAACCCCTTTGTAATATTATTTTCGCTGTAACTCGATGTATGTGATGTGTATTTGCTTAATCACGCGATCTTGGTTGTGATGTTGATTTACCGAGGTCTTTCGGGACACTCGGCGGACTACCGGGTTTATATGAGTGAAAGTATGGGTGTGTCAACGTGTTAGCGGGGACAACCGTACTTGATCTTGTATAAATTGGGCGGTTCTGTCACAAGAGCAAGCCAACGTATGCCATTTTTTTTTGTTTAATCGGCTGTTTATCGCATTTAAACGGTCATTTTGGCCATTTAAATTGTCGTTCAGTCCGAATAATAGCTAAACGATAGGTGATCGATTATTTTAAGGAAAATACTAAAAAAGCTTATTAACAATATCCAGGCTAAGTTGGAGATTCTGTACCAAGTTGGGCTAAGTTGGAAATATATATGATGAAAATTTCATTTGAAAAATATACTAATAGTATTAATATACTTGGATAAAGTATAATGCATCAAACAAATAAAACATAGAATTTCTAGACACTCGAAAACTTTTACAATGTTGTATTGAAGTAAGAGCATCCCAAACTTTCAGAACAAAAACTCAAAAGTCTCTGAACAAAAAGCATGTGACCACAGAAACATAGAGATCATGAGCCCCGCATTCATGAAAAAAAGATCGACCATCTAACATTTAGGGCCTCTTTGGCACGGCTTATGCTGGCTTCGGCTTCATCTATTTTGCACAAATCGAGGCACTGTAGCGTGAAGCCGTTTTGTAAGCCAGGGTTAAAATAAACTAGAAGCCGGGAAAAGCCAGTTTTTCTGGCTTCACCAGCTTTGGCTTCACCGGTGAAGCCGTTTTGGATGAGTCGTGCCAAAGGAGGCTTTACTCCGAGCGAACAACCGCCATATTGGATTTGCGCAATCCACAAAACATGCAAATATCTCCAAGAGTTTTCAAAATTCACTTGCAATCCTGATTTTATGGCAAGATTGGGAAAAACACTCTCCAACAACTCTTGATCTTTTCGCCTTTGAAAAAAAATCCACCCAATCGTGTGGAATAGACGCGCGTCAATCAATCGGCCAATCTGGAGGTGGAAGGACGTGGGGAAAGAATAAGAGCAAGGACAAGATTCCCAATGCAAATATACAAGAGAGAAAGAAAGTATAAAAGTGGTTAGAATGATTTTAAAAAACTCTAGCATTTCTTATGCCAAATGGTCTTCTACCTCTTAAAAGCAAGATTTTAGAAACGGTTAGAGGAAGCCAACAAATATGTTCCTAACTTCTTTAGCCACTTCAAATAAGAATAATATAGAAAACAATTTTACTCAAATGGCTCTTCAAAAATGCGCACAAGATATAGAAAATCTGTTGGAGGGTATAAGAATATAGAAACCAATTTTACTCAAATGACTCTTCAAATAATAATTTAGAGAGTAAATATTAGAAAGATTTTTTTTGAGATGCTCGGGTCTACGTGTCCTAGAGCTTTTAGGTAGCAATTTGTTCCACGTGGAGTCGTGGACACAGGAAATGAGTTCAGCTGAATCGGAAACGAAATGAACAACCTACTCTGCGTCTGAATTAATCTCGGTTAGAGGCTTATTAGAGCTGTAACGACATCATTGCAAATTAGTCGCGTGCATTGTACGTATCAACGTATGGCTGCTGACTCTGTTACGACTTCCATTTCGGACACGCTTGGGATCGGAGCAGCCCCCGCTTGTGCATCTGCAGCATCTCGTTACGATAAATAGTGGGAGCACCTTCCCGTCGCCTCATCGTCCTGTCCTGCCCTTTTCCACCTCTCTGATCTCCATCTCTTAGGGTTTAGGCGCCCAGTGTTCTCTACCAAGACCAAGAGCGAGCTTGCTAGCTTCTTGTGCGGCGATCTCCACCATGGGCACCGTAGCTCCTTTCGTCCTTCCCACCCTCGCCGGCGCAGACATGATGAAGAGGACGACGATGGCCACGCACGCAGAGGTCGCTCCTGCCGCGCTGCGCTGGTGCGACTATGGGGTGGACGATGACGCCGACATCGACGCGTTGCTTCGGGACATACACGCCGTCGTGCGCCCTCGCACCCCCGCCGCCGCGGACCTGCCGATGCCGCCCCCGGAGTTTCTTGCGCGGTCTCGGCGACACAACTATCACTATGACTACGAGGACAGCGACTTCCAGGCCGTTTTCCACGGTATTCGGAGCGTTCGGATCCCAGCCGCCGGCTTTGCTTCGATGCCCGTGGATGCTTCTGACGCCTCCCCAAGGACGCCAGCAGCAGCGGTGGTGCTTGCAGCGCCGCTCAGCTACGGCGACGATGCCAGCGAGGGAAACGACGCGGTCACCATCAAGACGTCTCCAAAGAAGCAGCAGTCGCCGCAGTACGACTACGACACCGACATCGACGCCACGTTCCGGACCATGGAGACAGAGGCCATGGAACGTCCCTCGCCAGACTACCTCAGCGATCGACAGGGAGGGGAGATGATGATGATGGACCGCGCCGACCTCATCGACAAGATGCATCGCTTCTCCACACACTACGACCTCGCCCCGGGAGCGTTCCACCGCGCAGTCTCCTTCGTCGACCGGTTCCTGTCGGCCAAGAAGATCAACCGCGACGAGCGCCAGATTTGCCTCCTCGGCGCCGCAGCCGTCTTCGCGGCGGCCAAGTACGAGGACAGGAACACCGTGCTGAAGATCAACTCCGACCACGTCGCCATGTACGCTGGGTGCACCCGAAGCGAGGGTGTCGACCAGGAGCGCGAGCTGGTTGCCGTGCTCAGCTACCGCCTGAGCGGACCCACGGCCTACACGTTCGTCGAGCACTTCATGAGGCACAGCCAGGAGGAGGAGGTGATCAGGGCCCTGGCGCATCACCTGGCCGACATGGCGTTGCTGGACTACAGGTGTGTGGCGTTCCTGCCATCCGCCGTGGCCGCGTCGGCGATCTTGCTGGCGAGGACGGCCCTGTACTATTCGACGGCGGTGCCGGTGGATGCAGGCTATACGCTCGAGGAGCTCAGCGACTGCATACAGGCGATATACGACATGCATGAGAACCTGTGGGTGTGGCCAGGCTGCGCCCAGATGATGCTACACTGGGATAGCACTGCTCAGTTCCGCTATTTCTTGCCTCCCCTGTCAATGCTGATTGCCATGCATTGACTGACCTGTACAAACACGCTGCTGCTGCTGCTGCTGCTAATAGATGGTACAAACCTTTTTCGGCTAGACCCTGTCTGGGTAGCACTATCAGCTACTCTAGGAGTGTTCCGATCTGATCTTTTTATAGTACTATCTAATTAAGGCAATGTATCGTTAATGGATCTCAGTTTTTTGTAGTATTTGTTTGTTTCAGTTTGTAATGTTCATATGTACATGTGCATGCATCTGAATGGATTATTGGAACTCATTTTAAATTCATGGTGTCTTTGTTACTTGCAAGTTATTGTGATATTTACTATTTGATTTGGTCTGATTTGTTAATTCCTGGATTCAAGGTGATTGCTAGACGTCAGCAGGTACTGTAGGTGTATTCTTCCATTCTTTTTCCAAAGCCTTTCTTGATGGACGGAAATCGGTCCTCCGTTATCCGTCAACTAGGAAGAGTGCACTAGAACGTAGATGGGGGGAAGGATGCACCCCATAGTAGATGGTTAAACCTTTTCAGGGAATTGTTAGTCCACTCGACACTACTACAGATTTAGATATCACTGCTGACCTTATCACTGTCGGATTCGTGAGAACCGGTAGTAATGTACGCTTCCGAGCTTGAAAACAAGAAAATAACTGAGTCTGGACTAAAACCGACGCTAAAGGACCGCATCACTGCCGGTTATTAATACAAACCGACAGTGATGTCTATCTACCGTCGGTTGTTTTAACAAACCGGCACTGATGCGTACTCCGTACCCAAAAATTTTATCAACTCCGCTTAACTCCGCACGCCTCCCAACTCCCTCCCAACTCCCAACTCCCAACTCCGCACGCCTCCCATCCATCTCCTCCTCCCCAGAACGCCGCACGCCTCCCATCCTAGAACGCCGCACGCCTCCCATCTCCTCCTCCCCAGAACGCCGCACGGCTCCACACCACACCCGCCTCCACTCCGCCGAGGAGAGCCACGCCGGAGAGGGGCATCTTCCTCCACCTGTCCCCGAGGAGCGGCACCAAGCCCCCATGCCTGCTCCCGCTCTTCCCCATCACCTCCGCGGCGGCGCCGTTCGAGTGAAGATGGAGGACGCTCGGCCATCTCCGTCGGAGGTGCTCGAGCATGCGGCCTCCACGCCGCTGCCGGAGTTGAAGGGGAGGAGCGCCGCCGTGGGGAGAGGGCCACCGCCGCCTCTCGCCTGCGCCGCCCGCCACCGGATCCGGCTTCCCCGCCACCAGATCCGTCCTCCCCGCCACCGGATCCGGCTTCCCCGCCACCGGATCCGGCCTCCCTGCCACCGGATCCGGCTTCCCCGCCGCCGGATCCAGCCTCCTCGCCCGCAACGCCTGAGGGAGAGAGGGAGGGGAGAGGGCCGCTGCCGGAGGGGAGGAGGGGCGCGCGCCGCCAAGGAGGAGGAGGCAGCCGCGCTTGCCCGTCGGAGAAGGAGGCAGCCGCACTGTGTCTCCTCGGCAATCTGTGATGTATGAATTTTTTATCTGTGATGTATGACTTTATTTGTCTGTGATGAAATCGTATTGGAGATGGAATCCATACTTTGTCTATGATGGATGAGTTTATCTGTGATGTATGAGTTTATCTGTGATGTATGACTTTATTTGGCGGCAGTGATGGATGAAATGCTCGATGTAGTGGCGGCGGTAGCCAGCGAGCATGCTCCAGCCCCATGGATTGCTTTTTTTTTGTTTTTCTAAACCTTATCACTGTCGGGTGAAGTACCGGCAGCAGTAGCCAGCGAGCATCACTGCCGATATGCCACTGCCGGTTTAAAATTCCGACAGTGAAGGGCGATTTTGAACCGGCAGTGATATCGAAAACTAGGGTAGTGCGATCATACATCTTGCAAAGGTCCAGAGTGATTTTCATATCACACCTTTTATATGTCATGATTATTTTCTTTTTATTTTCCTATAAGATTCAAATGAGTTTTATACCACATGATTTTGCAAGCTACATTGATCTCATAGAAGATTTGATCAAGGTGACATGTTATGAAACGATGCCTCTCTAATTGACGTCTTTTCCTAGAGATGATCTCATCCATTGATTCAAAGATTGCGATTAGGATTGGACGAATATTTTGTCACCAAACGGGCATGCCCTTTGAGCATGCAGTTGTGAAACGGTTGCCACCTATTTGGAGAGGGTGTCTTGCGAATAGATGCCTGTCCAAGACAACTAGTCACTTGTGTATATATACATATCCAAGAGATCAATGAGAATGTTTAGTTATTCCCAAAAAAATGAGAATGTTTAGTTCTTCCAATCCTTTGTTCAGTTTACATTTTCATTACTAACAACTCATTTCTAAACCCTTAGTGCAAACAGTAGTTTCTTTTAACACAACTCATTTCAGAAACAAAATGAACGGCCTACTCTGCACCGGATCGGAAACCATCTCGGTTAGCTAAGCCGTATCGTTAACGACACCACCGCAAATTCGCGTGCATCGTACGTACGTACGGTTGCTGTTACCATTTCGACTTCGGACATGCATGGGGAAGCAGCCACCGATCGAGCTATGATCTTGTGCATCGTTACGATAAATATATAGTGGGGGCAGGCCACCGACCTTCCCTCCCGTCGTCGCCTGTCTTGCTCTTGTTCTCCACCTCTCTGATCTCCATCTCTAGGGTTTAGGCGCCTAGTTCTCTGCCAAGACCGCTTGCTAGCTTCCTGCGATCTCCACCATGTGCACCGTAGCTCCTTTCGTCCTTCCCAGCCTCGCCGGCGCAGACATGATGAAGAGGACGACGATGGCCACGACGCACGTGGAGGTCGCTCCTGCTGCGGTGCGCTGGTGCGACTATGGCGTGGACGATGACGCCGACATCGACGCGTTGCTTCGGGACATACACGCCGTCGTGCGCCCTCGCACCCCCGCTGCCGCGGACCTGCCGATGCCGCCTCAGGAGTTTCTTGCGCGGTCTCGGCGACACAACTATCACTATGACTACGAGGACAGCGACTTCCAGGCCGTTCTCCACGGTATTCGGAGCGTTCGGATCCCAGCCGCCGGCTTTGCTTCTATGCCGGTGGATGCTTGTGACGGCTCCCCAAAGGACACCAGCAGCAGCAGTGGTGCTTGCAGCGCCGCTCAGCTACGGTGACGATGCCACCGAGGCCGATGTGGTCACCATCAAGACGTCGCCCAAGATGAAGCAGCCGCCGCAGTACGACTAAGACGCCGACATCGACGCCACGTTCCGGACCATGGAGACAGAGGCCATGGAACGTCCCTCGGCAGACTACCTCAGCGATCGACAGGGAGGGGAGATGATGATGATGGACCGCGCCGACCTCATCGACAAGATGCATCGCTTCTCCACACACTACGACCTCGCCCCGGGAGCGTTCCACCGCGCAGTCTCCTTCGTCGACCGGTTCCTGTCGGCCAAGAAGATCAACCGCGACGAGCGCGAGATCTGCCTCCTCGTCGCGGCAGCCGTCTTCGCGGCGGCCAAGTACGAGGACAGGAACACCGTGCTGAAGATCAACTCCGACCACGTCGCCATGTACGCTGGGTGCACCCGAAGCGAGGCCGTCGACCAGGAGCGCGAGCTGGTTGCCGTGCTCGGCTACCGCCTGAGCGGACCCACGGCCTACATGTTCGTCGATCACTTCATGAGGCACAGCCAGGAGGAGGCGGCGGTCAGGGCCCTGGCGCACCACCTGGCCGACATGGCGCTGCTGGACTACCGGTCCGTGGCCTTCTTGCCGTCTGGCGTGGCCGCGTCGGCGATCTTGCTGGCGAGGATGTCCCTGTCCTATTCGACGGCGACGCCGGTGGTGGCAGGCTATACGGTGGAGGAGCTCAGCGGCTGCATACAGGCGATATATGACATGCATGAGCACCAGTGGGTGTGGCCAGGGTGCGCCCAGATGATGGTACACTGGGAGAGCACTGCTCAGTTCCGCTATTTCTTGCCTCCCCTGTCCATGCTGATTGCCATGCATTGACCTGCAGTAGAAACGTTTGGCTACACCCGGCCTGTCTAGGTAGCACTATCAGCTACTTTAAGGCAATGGGTCATTATTGTACCTCAGTTTTGTTTGTTTCAGTTTGTAATGTTTATTTGTACATGTAACTGGATGGATTATGTAAACTCAGTTTTGTTGGTATGTATGAATCATGGTGTTTTTGTTACTTGCAAGTTATTGTGATATTTACTAGTATTTGATATGATCTGATATGTTCAAGGCGTGACTGCTAAATGGTAGTAGTAGCTAGTAGGTACTACAATTGTATTCTTTCATTATTTTTGCAGAAGCGTTTCTTGATGGATGGAAATTCGGCCTTCGTTATCGTCAATGAGAGGTTTGTAGGTACTATGAGAGAGGACGCCTGACTCCAAAAAAAGCTAAAGCGACTTATAATTTGAATTAGAGTTAGTAAACGACATTGTTGTCAGCCAAGTGCAACTCAGGTATAGATGGGGCTCCATGCATCGACAATCTTGCTTGTGGCCCTGCTCTTCTGGGCTCGCCGACCATGCCACACTTCGTCGCAGCAGTGATGGGGCAATGATCACTTCAATAGTTCGATCGATCAATCCATGAAAGGAGCTACCAGTGTGTCCAGTCCAGGTTGCGCCACGGCACGACCCGATGGTTAGGCAGGTCATCAGGTGGTGGCGGTCTGGCAGACTAGTATGATGGCCAACGGGCCGGCATGGCACGCCGTGCCTCCCGGGCCGTGCCTCACAAGGCCACAGGCCTGGCCTTCGGCCCAGGCACGGCCCTATGGACCGATTTCCGTGCCAGGCCGGCCTGAGAAGCACGGCCATTTTCACAGGCCGTGCTAGCCCGAGGCCCACTGAGTGCCGAGAGAGAGAGAGAGGAGGGAGGAGAGGGTAGGCCGGGTCGCCGGGACGCAGGGGTCATGGAGGAGCGGCGGGGGCTCGAGGCCAGCCACCGCGCGGGGGCCTTGGGTGAGGAGGGCGGCTGTCGGCATGCTCGAGGCCGGCGCGTGCGCCGCGGTCGCATGGGGAGGCGAGGAGGAGGTAGCCGCTGGGGCTGGGAGCGGCGGAGCTCCGGATCTCGGGGCAAGGAGGGAGGTCGTCGTACCTACGCCGGATCTGAGCGGAGGAGGCACGGCAAGGGAGCCCGCCGTACGCCGAGGGAGAGGGTGGGAGGGAGCCCGCCGTGCACCGAGGATGAGGGAGAGAGGGAGGCCACCGGATCTGAGCTAAGGGAGGGAGGGAGGGAGAGAGGGAGAGGGAGAGGGAGAGAGATCCGCACGGGGAGGGAGAGATGGAGGATGGGGGAGGGAGGGAGGGCGCCACCTGGCCTCGCTGGCATCGAGGGGGGAGGCCACGTCTGTGGTGCTCCAACTCGACAGTGGGGCAAGGAAGGAGGAAGAGGAGGCGGTGACACGAGCCAGCATGGAGGAAGACGAATGGCGACGACGTCGGCTCGGGGAAGACCTCACGATGGCTCGAGGAGACGAGGAGCGGCGAGGCTCTCGACGGCGACGGCGTTCCTCGGGGAAGGGGAGGGGCGGCCGCCGCGAGGCGCGACGCGAGGGAAGAGAGGGGGTGTCCGCGAGGGAAGGGGAGGGGGTCGGGCGGCCGTCGCGAGGCGCGACGCGAGGGAGTGCACTTATATATGAGGAGGGGGGAGGCGGGGACGGTGGGCCGACCGCGCTGGGCCTTGGGGAGGGGAGGATGAGTGAGGAGGGGGAGGGGGGAGGCCGGGCCGCTGCCGGGCCAACCGACTTAGGCCGGGCCGTGCCGTGCCAGCCCACGGGCCTGAGCAGCGGCCCAGGCACGGCCTGCTCCTTCGGGCCGGGCCAGCCCGGGCCCACACGTCACCTGGGCCGGGCCGGGCTCGTGTTGGGCTAAAAAAGCGGGCTTCGTGCCGTGCCGTCGTGCCTCGGGCTGCATGGACATTTGTAGCATGGGAGGCTAAGCGAAGGCAGCTGAAATGGCTCGGGGTCAACAACTTCAAGGCTAGGGTCAATAGCATCAAGCACGGAACAATATAATTCATAACAGTGACAATGACACTCAGGAATATAATGGCAAGGGTATGTTGGAAACTTTGGACTTATATTAGACATTTGGTAAGTTCATGGATCCTGATACGCAGTTTCAAAATTTTGGGCTGTTTGGTTCCCCGCCATCTCTCGCCTTGCCATAGTCGCGACTGCCACGACATGTTGGCTGGCGTTTGGATTGCGTGTAGGCAGGGGCAGCCACAACTAATGGTTTTCGCCATAGGTGTGGCATCCACTTTCCTCGCCACCACGCCACAGCTTCGGCGGCCGCGCCACACCTCGCGTGGTGTGTGGTGTGTGGTGGTTGGGCACCAAACATGCCCTTGCACACTATATGATGAAAGTGTTTTCCGTAAAAAAAATCTAAGTGTAGTAATGACAATCTTTTGTCAATATATATATATATATATATATATATATATATATATATATATATATATATATATATATATATATATATATGTTAAGATACCGATAGTTGAAGTTTAAAAACATTGGCATAGAATAAAAGTAGACTAACATTGATTTGTTAGTGTGACCAAAGGAAGTATATATACTCTTTAGCTTTGTCCTAAGCCAGCCGTCGCAAAGTCCTCAGTCAGGCAGTAAAACTAGACTGACATGGATTTGTGATCAAAAGAAATATATATAGACTATGGTATCAAATGCAATGGATATGAACCGTCGGAACCAAGCTTCGTTGTCATGAATTATCCGTGTTAGTTTCCAAATAATTGATCCATTTAGACGGTACATAATCTGGTGGAGTAATTCCTGAGCTCAAGTTGTTTTGATTTCTGAAGCAGATGGAAACATTCATTCGATGTAATGGGAAATACCCGGAGCCTTGTTTGTATATAAATAAAAAAGAAGTAAAATCATTTCAAATTGTTAAAAGATTTCACTTCTGTTTTCGATATAAAAATAGAAAATTTTGGCTAGAGATGAATCCAGTCACAGCAGAGCCAAGCTGCATGTTGCAGTACGCCTTCGAGTGCCTAGCAGGTAGCAGCAATGCTTTCGCTCATAGCCACCAACGGTCCCCCACTAAGGAAAAAATGTTGGGGAAATTCTTTGTTTGCCATTAAAAAAAATCGTAATGTCCTGTTTGTTCCTGGAAAAGTTCAGCGGTCTTTAACGCTATTGCTCTAACTTTTTTGTGCCATCCATGCCACTGCCGTCAGTTTGGGCTTTAACGCCGTAAACTGCAGGTGTGAAAAGTCGAAAATACGCTTAAGTCTAAATATGTCATTAAATTTTTTTTTGAGCATCTTAACGACTTCAAATGAAAAAACTCAAAACTAGAAAGTTGTAGATCTAGTCGAGATTTATAATTTTTATATAAAAATTATTTTCATTTAATTCCCCAAAAAAATATGATTTGATATGATTAATATATCTTAGAAAAATCATATCTTTTTTTGCGGAATTAAATGAAGATAATTTTTATATGAAAATTATAGATCTTGACGAGATCTACAACTTTCTAGTTTTGAGTTTTTTTATTTGAAGTCGTTAAGATGCTCAAAAAAAAATTAATGACATATTTAGACTTAAGAGTATTTTCGACTTTTCACACCTGCAGTTGACGGCATTAGAGCCAAAACTGACGGCAGTGGCATGGAGGGCGCAAAAAGTTAGAGCAATGACGCTGAAGACCGCTGAACTTTTCCAAGGACACACAGGGCATTGCAATCTTTTTTAATGGTACACAAGGAATTCCCCCAAAAATGTTATACTTCAGTTCTCCTCTTGTCGTCGTCACTCGTCAGCTGGGTCTGCGTAAACTTAATCAACAGAGTTCCGCCATCCTTCTCCCTCGCGTCGCTCCCGTAGGCGACTTGGGGGAGCCCCCATAGCACCGCCGCCAGCCCCCGCTCTGCTCCCTCCCTCCCCTGCCGTCGCCCGAGCGGGTGGCTAGACGCTCGGCACCTGCAAGGAGGGCGGCGCCAGGGCTTTCTGGCTGGGCTGAGCACGCGCTCCGTGTGGGCGGCGCGACTCTCCATCCCGTACTGCGGTGCTTTCCCAGCGCTCCGGCCACCGGTCCTCATCCCTTCATCCAGATCCATCGCCCCCATGGGTGGATTCGCGACCTGCAGGGCCATGGCGGTGGGGGCGCCGTGCGCAGGGCCGCGTGATGATGGCGGCTGCGGGCTGTTTGAAGTAGCGGCGGTGGCGGTGGCCCGGTCCGGTCCAGGGTCTTGGGGTTAGATCTGGCGCCTCCGGGATGGATGACGGTGACCGTGTGGCGACCTGGCTGGGGGCCGGCGACGGTCGGGGAGGCGGCCAGCGCTGGTGGCCTGGTCGGCGGCGGACAACCAGGCCAGGATCCGACGTCCCCCGGTGGGCGGTAGCGGCGTACGCAGGCCTGGCAGCGGCTCCTGCTCCTCCTCGTGCTTTGGCCAAGGCGGGGGCGGTCGGGCTTGTGCTCGGAGACCGCAACCGTGAAGGCCAAGGGCGCGGACGTCTGCGCCTTTTGCTTCGGTTTCAAGTGCTGGGATGTGCATGCCGGCAAGGTGGATGGGCTGGTGTGATAGAAAATACTAGACATCTAGGCGTAGATCAGTGGTTAAATATTTAGCTTAGGTAGAATAAGTTGCTGATGTACCTCACTAAACCGTGTCGCGGCCGAGATGTCGGTGACGTAATAGCCACAGCCGGTTGGAGTAGAGGTAGCCGTGACGCGCCCGCTAGGTCATCGTATGTAGCAGCAGTGCAGGCACGGTGCTGTGGTGGCGATGAAGGCGAAGGCGCTTCCTGTCGCTCACAACGCCCCTCTCGATCAGTCTAGGGTTAGGAACTTCGTGGTGGGGCTGGCGGCTACTAGTGACCTCATATCTTGTGCCTCAGCCCCCACCGTCCTTTTATGGCGCTGCGCGACGGGGGCCCATCAGCCAGGAGAACCGGCTAAGCGCCCCCGATCTAGGCGTGGATCAAGGGCTCAATTAGTTGTTGGGCCAAC